TCATACATGCACATTTGCTACATATTTGCCGTTGTGCTTGCTTTCTATGAACAGGTGCTTATCCTGTTGTTCAGAATAGGTGGGCATGATGGCTGGTCCTCAGGAGTGGCAGGTGGGTTTCCTTCTAATGTTTATCTTTGTTAGAACATGATGCGTTACTCACTGCAACAAAATGACAGTACATTAAAGAAAAGTTCAGCAAGGTGGTCAGTTATAAGCTAAAGACATAAAAGGTAATAGTTTGGTTAATAATAAGTTGCTATAAAATGTCATTTAAAAAAATGGTACTATTCACAAAGATATCAAATACGTAGGTCCTCTATGTAGAAAACTCTTAATAAGGGAAATTAGAGAAGATTGGAAGACACTCTGTTTGTTGGATGAGACATTGTTCATCAAATTCTCCCCCAAATAATGAATTTAACAAAATCTAAAACCGTCCACATGTATTAGTTTGCTTGTAGATATGTTTGGATTTGAATAGCTAGGAAGTTTCACAGAAAAACAATGGGAGGGGGGCACCTGAGTGGCTCAGTCGGTTAAACGTCTGCCTTCGGCACAGATTGTGATCTCAGGGTTCTGGGATCGAGCCTTTGTCAGAGCTCCCTGTTCAGCGGGGAGTTTGCTTCTCCCTTTCCCCTTCCCTGCTGCTCATGCCCTCTCTCTGCTCTCTCAAATAAATAAATACAATCTTTAAAAAAAAAAAAATGGGAGCGACTTGTACACCCAATATTCTCGAGTACAACAGGACTCTAGTAACTAAATGTAACTAGTGCAGAAATTCATATAGACGAATGAAAGAGTTGGGGAGTCCAGAACGACTCCAATTACAAGAAGAAATGGTGGGTTTCTCAATTCAATGGTGTTGGCATAACTGCTTACCTATGCGGGAAAAGCAGTACAGCAAACCAAGTAAGCGTGAAGAATAAAGACTCTGCGTGTTAAAATCTGAACTTGCTGGTACTCAGTACCTGTGACCTTGCACAAATCAGATAATCTCTCTGTGCCTCACTTTCTTCATCTCTTCTCCCTACCAATGGCACTATTGCCAGGGTTAAGTAGATTCATATTTGTAGAATGCTCAAAGGAGGACCAGTCCGACAGAAGGTACCTACTAAGTACCAGCTATTGTTCTATCATTTAGGGAAAAAAAAGTAAGTCTAATCTTTATCTTCTACCCAATGTACAGCACACTAAATTCAAGTGGATTAAAGAATTAATTTTTTTTTAAAGTTTGTAAAATACTAGAGAAAGGGTAGGTAAATTTTTTGTCTAAAATAACCCTGGGTTGGAACAAATCTAAGTGTGGTCATCAAAGCCAGAAAACATGAAAACTTGATTAATTTGCCTCTTTAAAAATAATGTTCTGTTAGAAAAGTACAACTAGGAAAGTACATTTGTAATGCATCTTATAGAGCAGAGGAGTTTAGCATCCTTAGTAAAAGCTTAAAAAGAAATTGTTTTTTAAAAACATGCAATTTGAGGGGCGCTTGGGTGCTTAGTTGGGCGTTCCACTCTTGATTTCAGCTCAGGTCATGATCTCAAGGTGGTGGGCTCGAGCCCTGCATCAGGCTCTGCACTGGGCATGGAGCCTGCTTGGGGTTCTTTATCTCCTCACTTTGCCCTCCCCTTCTAAAAAACAAAACAAAACATGCAATTTGATAAATGCTGTTAGTGTCCACCAGATCCCTTTGACCAGCCTGGTGTACCCTTCCTCCAGCTGCTTCAGATTTGGGCACTAATGGTTTCACTCTCCCCAGAGCATTGCCCGTGCTGATGGAAGTCACCCTACCCAAAGATGCCTGGGAAGTTTTACACACACACACACACACACACACACACACATGCACGCACCGCCTTGAGTTCGGCCCGTGGCCAGTGCCTGATGCAGGGCATTATCACCTGGCCATCTGGCCTCCACGGCATGATTTATGCTCCTGAGCTGGGATAAGGCTGAGGAGAGGCTTCTCCTGAAAGCACATCTTCGCCTGTTTCTTCTGCCCTGTCCTGTTTCCCTCGTTGCCTTACAGAGCTCACACAATAAATCACTAACACAAGAACCCTCATTTCAGGTGCTGCTTCCAAGGCACCTGACATAATGGAAAATTGGGCAACGAAGATTGATCCAGAACAATGCTCAGTAAACATGAAGATGCTGAACTTTTTTAGTAATTGGGGAAAATCCACCAAAAATGTATCTTTTGTGATCAGGTTGGAAGATAAAAGATTTTAAAAATGAGAATTCTCATGATTTGGGGGACAGACAATAACATAATGGAAGAGGTATAATTTGATACTAACCTTACAGAGTCTTCTGTGAATGTGTTTCTTCAGAAATAGCTGGTTGGGTATAAAGGGTAGTGGATAAGGATATTCATTGCAACAATGTCTAAAATAATGGGAAAATGGAAACAACCCAAATGCCCAATAATGGGACTAAATGTTCCATTATAAATTGAAACATAATGCCATTTATAAAGATGTCTAGAATAAGTTGTTCAATTGAAAACAAAGTTAACTAAATGTATAGTGCCTATATGTAATGTGCACAGAAATAATCAGTACCATGAAACGATTATTGGGAATGTTGCTTCCTTCCTTATTCATTCCTGTGATTGGCTTAATACTTGGTGAGTAGGTATTACTCGCTCAAAGGGAGAGAGAGATTTTTTTCCCCTTGTTGGGTAAAGGCAGTATTGTAGATGTATGACACCATTGGACTAAAAGTACAACCGGAACACACTTCGGGGGGTGGGAGGGACTAAGTATAAGTAAGGGTTAAGGATGGCTTCATGGAAGAAAGGCAGCTAACCCAAAGGGGAGGAAGGAGAAATTGTGCAGGGCTTTGGAGTGGGAGGAAGAGCTTTCCAGGGAGCTGACACGGTACAGGAAAACAGAAAACCGAGTGCCTGGATTTTCTAAGGAACTGAAAAGTCCACAGAGTTGAAATTCAGAGTTTAGTGAGGAAAGTGATGAGAAATTGATGAGAATAGAGAGTTAAAGGCAGTCAGATTTCAAGGATTTTTGAAAAATGTTGAGTTTTCATCCTGAGGGAAATGGGAAGCCACTGAAGAATTTTAAAGAGGTGAAGGACTTGACCAGATTTGCATTTTAGAAAAATCACTCTGGCTGCGACTTAACAGACTGGTGGGAAGAGAGCCAGAGGCTGGGAGCCTGGCAAGGGCCATTTCAGTAATCGGGGGGATGCCGTGGCCATCTGAGCTAGGGTGGTGGCCCCTGGGGTGGGAGAAGTGGACAGACTGCAGAGCTACCTAGGGAGGATACTTGGTAAGAAGACTTGGAGGTTGATTGGAAGAAAGGAGGGAGGAAAAGAGAAGCAAGAACAACTACCAGGCGTCTGTTGGTCAATGGGACATTCTCTTCACTGAGGAAGAGACAAGACGAGAGTCAGGTTGTGGGCAAAGAGCTGGCTCAGGTGGCAAGACAACGAGCTTAAAAGTTGACCACCTGTGAGACAGGTGAAAGCTTGGCCTGAAGTGTTTATTTTCTCCATTAGCAGAGGTGACCGAGTTGGCCTTGTTAGAATGGGACTTACCCCGTGTTGTCTCTCATGCCCTCCACCTCTGTGCTAGTGGAAATCTCCTTATGTGGTGACTCGAAAGTGGTTTAATCCCTTACTCTCTTCTCTGCCCTCCCAGCTGTTGCAGGTAGGGGGATTTGAGGAAGGCATCATAAAGAGAGAACTTGGTCACATAATAACCTACCACGTTATGCTGTGGGAGACACCAGTACCAGCAAGAGAAATGTGACTTGTGTCGTGGGTGCTTTAAGAGGAAGAAATGGGAGGATCTTGAGCCTTAAGGACGAGACGGGTTAGAGCCATTACCCTAGCGGGAGGGAGACAATGGAGGGACTGAAGCTCCTGATGCCCTTAGGAGGTTAGGAGACTGGATAAAAAAGGCTCAAAAATATTTCAAACCATCCTGCCACCGTACGTGTCCGTGAGCAACTGACCGGAACACCTGCTCATGGACCAGGCCTGCACATGCTCTCAGTGTTGGAGGCACAGCGAAGGGGCCGTGTGTGTTCTTCCATCTGGGGTGAGTTTTGGGGGTGGGAGACCCCAGTGCCAGTGTTTCACATTGGCCTTCATACATTTCCTAAAGTGCCAGACTTTTCCCATGACCTTGCCCTTTCCGGTGGCCTCTCTGCTGTCTGGAACGCTGTGCTTGAATAGCTCCAGCTCACCCTTCAGACTCCCCCCCAAAAAGTCACCACCCCAGTGAAGTCTTTGTACAGAGTTTCCCCACCCCGCCCCTCCCCATCAAATGGTGTGCCTTTGCATCTGAGACTCTCACAGCACTCTGCTTTTTTACTTCATTAGACTTACCACAGATCGTTACTATATATTTATTTCTGGGATTATTTCTTTAATATTCATCTGTTCCAGGAAAGCCGGGCAGGGACAATCTGCTTTTCTCATCACAGGTCTTAGCTTAGCACCTGGTCCAGCACCTGGCAACAAAATGGCTCCCCTTGGAGGTCAGAAATCATTGACCAGGTGTGTTTTCTCGTGGGCAGCCTTTGACACCGACAGCCGGTGTCCACACTAATCCTTAAACCTCAGATTAGCCCTGATGGGAATGTCCCAAATAGCACTTGTTTAACTTGCAGTAATCATTCTGCCCACCAGGGGTCTCTTTCTCCCCACCACTGGGGCCCGAGGAACTTGAACTCTATCCTGATGATGGTTTTGCCCAGCCTTGCTGCTCAATGTGTGTTTGTGGTGTACCAACCACCACCTCTGCATCACCCGGAAGCTTGTCAGAAATGCAGAGTCCCAGCCCGCCCCCCGCCCCCGCAACGGGAGGGATCAGAATCTGCATTTTAGCAAGATCCTCAGGTGGTCTGCAAACATGGTCAATACTGAGAGGTACTATTTTACAGGACATTTCTAATCCCAAAAACTCGGAAGACAAAAAACCCCATCCAAATGGCCTTATTCACATGGTTCTTTCCCACCATACTTACAGAAGCACTTAGAGGTTTAGAATTTTGCTTTTATTATGAATATAAAATAGACATACAACATAATATACATTTACACATTTACACTTTGCAGTCACTTTCATCTTTTTTTTTTCAGCAAATTCACTTCTGCATGGCCCAGCGGCCCGCACCTGCCACGACACACCGCTTACACTCAAGACATTCTCTTCACCTCGGTACAACGTGTGACTTGGTAAGAAATACCAGGCCCAGGCATCCAACGGCTTGGCTTTACTGTCCTTCTCACAGAAGCCTTCATTCCACAGTCTCCTCTCCCGTCGCTACACGCCTCCCACTGCCCCAAACGTCAGCATTAAAAATTCAGGAGAAAAGGGGGCTGTGATCATCACCCTTGTCCTTTAAAAACACCTTGAAATATCTTCCACCAACGAGGTGCCCACGAGCAGGCACCAACAGCATTGCTGGTTAACGTGGTCTGAGGACAAATCTACAGGAAGGCTCTGAAGTGTTATATACAAATTAAGCTTTGCTCACCAAATGGGTCACCACGAAGGATCTGAATACCAGTGGCATCGAAGTAAATAAATAAATAAATAAACAGGAATAAATAAAAATAAATAGAGTGAGTTTCACTAAGGGAGATTCCCATACCTATATCCCTGTGCTTTCTCAAAACTTCATTAGGTGCAGCTTTACAACAGGTGGATAGGAGCTGGATGTTAGGACTGGTTGCTCTTCTCTGGGGCCGTGCCTTCAAAATGCTGGTGAAGAACAACGGGATGCGAGTGGTATCATTTCCTTTAGAAGGAGGCTATGCGAGAGGTTTTGTAGGAGTTCTCCTTGAGGCTGTCGAATATTGCCTTGGTTCCATTCTGCCAGTGCAGCACCAGATCCACTGGGGTCTTCCCAGCCTAATCAAAATACATGAGGAAATTTGACTTCCAGATGGGAGGCATCTATAAATTCTACACATCTTGCGTGCGCGCGTGTGTGTGTGTGTTTAATGAGGTAATGGATAGGTGTATGTTATTGAACTGTTTTAGGCTTTCCACTATGAGTGATTTGCAGTTTATATTCAAATCAGCCCCTCAGTGTTTCTCATAGGAATGCTTTTGGCATTTCAGATTAGCAATGTTTCTGTTTGTTCCCCGCCCTGTGGGACTGTCCCAGGTATTGGTAAAAAAAAAAATCCCTAGTCCCTAGACAGTAAATGGCAAGAGCATTCCAAGTCATTTTGAAATTCAAAAAATGCCTCTCTACATCTCTGGTATCCTGCAGAAGAGGCATGGGGAGAGAGTGGTCAAGAACCAGTTCCTATCAGTTTGGAAAATGATTCCTGATTGATAAAGCCTGTTGGTAAACGAGCTGCATGGACACCTTGGCTGAAGTCCTCAGGTGCTGTGCAGAACTATTACTGCTCCGAGGGGTGGAGTTTTCACACTGGGATCTCCTGGGAAATTTCATTTTTCTTGGAGGGGACATCAACGATGTGTAAATAATTTTTGAGACCAAAATGCTTTTTCCCTTATGCGTAGGTCTCAAGACATTTACAAAAATGAATACCACGTCACCTCTCAATTCTTGTCTTTAAATATGGACAGTCTTACATTTTTCCACCCCTATTCATTTGGAAGTCTCTTTAACTCAGAGACTGCAACCTGGCAGCTTTGAGATGCAAATCAGCCTAGAGACCTGTTTGGTTTGGGCCCAAACAGAGCTTAGATTTTTTAAAAGTTGGAGTTAATTGGCAACAGTTGGAAATTAGGAGATTTCCCAAGTGAATTTGTGAACGCTCTGAAAAAATCAGAAGAGTTGGCCGGCAGGACACCTGTGGCTTCCCAGAGCAACAATGGTTTGGGGTGGGGAAGAGCCACCACCTCCAGAAGCTACGCACACAGAGCCCTGCAGCCACCATGTACATAATTTAGGTGATCTGCCTGGCCCCTGTGCTTATTTGAATTAGTGGCCCTGTAACCATTTTGGAACTTCCTACCTCTATAGTGTGTTCCTTGAGAAACACTCATTGGTACACATAATGACAGAGCTTGAGACAACAATAGAATAATGTACTGTGCGTTGTTTACAGTTCCCTTCAAGATGGTGTCCAATGGCTTAGTGGTCTGTTGGGGACTATCCAGCCATTGGATCAATGACATTAATAGTCCCAGGACCCTTATGCTGGGGTCTAACTGATAATTCAAAGCCATGAGCCCCATTGGTATATTTTGGGCTATTCTTCCATGAATTCCTTCAGCTCCTCTCTATTAAAATCTATCTCCTGATTTTCTGGCTACTTACACAGTCTCCCCAAATCTGTATGCTATTTCTCTCTGCTGGCAGTATCTCACTGCCTGAAAGCAATTGTCATATTTTCTGTAGTTTTGGAGATTTCATTAAATCTACTCTTTTTCTGCTGATTAAATTATTAGACAAGACCATCCTAATATGAAGGATGAGGGGATCCGACTATTAACACTTTCCCATTCAAGCAGCCTCTATTTATTGCTTCTAACCTTTGTTCCTATCACCAAGACAGTTTTGTGGGGTTTTTTTATGATAAAATATTCCTCTCAGTCTCATAGTAACACAATAAGGGGAAGAAATTATTCACAATAGAAGATGACTGGGGTTTTCTTTTCCTTCTTCGTAAAGTGATCCTCTACCAAATCTTTCAAATTATTTCTTTGGGAATTTATATCCACTCCTCCCAGTGATATTTTTAAAGCTTATATTAGATGATGTTTGTCTGGGAATTGGGACCATGAGGAAAAGTTGGCTCTCTTCCCTGGCTTGCAGATGAAGCTAAATTAACACGTACTTGTAGAAGGGACTTATACGAGCATTTTCAGGGCCTAAATATAGGAAATTATTTTGAGGATATGCAGATAAACCAAAGTGGAGAATGGATAGAAATTATCTCAAAAAATATAGGCAAAATCATGGCTAGCCCTGGAAGAAAGTGGTAGCACGTCCTGCTGTTGTAAGGAGGGGAGGACTACTCAGAATTACTCGGATTCGATATTGATTAATTTCAGTTCATTGGCTCTCAGCCCCATTGACCGCTGTGGAATTTTATCCCTTCAGGAATGGTGCCTGTCTTTATTCCTGACAACCCCAGGCCTTGCTCAGCCAGGGGTGGCCAGGGAAGACTGTGCTTAGGTTTGTGAACGTGAGCGATTTGACCATCTCGTATTTTCACACCCAAATCTTAAAAGAATCACCGGACACTGTGATTGTGTCATGATGCCTCCCCCATCTCTGACCAGGTGACCCGAGTCCTTGCCAAGGACTAGCAATGTCACTAAGGGAATGGACAGGGGCATTTAGAGCATCACAAGACCGCCCCCAACCCGGAAATCCTACCACTATGGGAGCATTTTCAAGTATAGGAGATATGCTTTTGTGCATCAGAAAGCCAGCAAGCGGGGGCTGCTTGTTTCAGGTACTTACACAATTCTTGATGTTGAGGTCAGCCCCATACATAATCAGGAGTCTGATCATCTTGTAACGGTTCAGCCTCACGGCATCATGCAGAGGGGTATCTCCTTCCTAGAGAAGCAGAGACCACAGGCTAAAGCGCGACCTGAGGTCAGGAAGTGGGTCCCACAAGAGTACCGGGCTTGGGGAGTGATTCCAGATAAATGAGGGCAGGAGCTGCGGGAGGTGGGACTTTGCCCAGGGACTCACTCGGTCTTTGGCGTTGAGGTCGGCCTCACAGGCGATGAGATGCTCCGCACACTCGTAGTGCCCAGTCCTCACAGCCACATGCAGCGCCGTGCTGAGCAACTGGGAAATTGAAGAATGCAACTGATTTGCGGGGCTCGGCGACAGAGGCTGTCCCAGACCCCAAGGCATGTGTGAGAGGACAAGTGGCCACTATGGTGCCCCACACAGCATGAGCTTCCAGCTGACCCAAATGGTGAGGTGGCTTTCGGAGAGGAGGGGGAAGGGGAGGAGGAAGCGGGGGAGGGGGAGAAAAAGCGGGGAAGGGGGAGAGAAGGGGAGAAGGGAGAAGAGGAGAAATAAATACCTTATCCCGAGCACTGATTTTTGCTCCTTTATTCAGTAGCAATTTTAAGACATCCAGGTTTCCTCCACGGCTTGCCCAGTGGAGGGCTGTGGATTCAAGCTATACCAGAAGGAAAAAGGACATGATTTAATGTAAAGAACTGGTCAGAGGAGTTGGTACTTGGTTTCTGAGACCCAGGAACACCAGATTTGCTAGGGCGTCCACGGTAGCAGCGGGCTGTCCCCCTCCGGACAACAACTACAATGACCGAGAACTACAATTCATTGAGAATTTCTGCATGCCGACAAGGTACTACGCAATTCCGATGGATTGGTCCTCCTAGCAATGTTATGAGGTAGGTGTGACCGTGCTCGTTTGGCAGATGAGAAAAACAAGTCTCCAAAATAGTCAAGTTTCTTGCCCAGGGAAGCACAGCTAGTAAGTATCAGAATAGATATTCAAACCCACATCTGTCTGGAACTTTTAGCCACTTTTGCCAAATACACTCAGAAGTTTTAGACAAATGCATTTTAAAATTCTGGCAGAATAAAAGTAGTTCCTTCTAAGAGATTTTAATCTGGATCTGTCACCTCTTCCTGTGTCCCTGTGATTTTTTTCCTCATCTCTTGCTTGTTCTCTGCTGTCATTTGGGCTGGCACAGCCTCTGTCCCTCAAGTGCACTCGTGGTCACCGCACACTGCCCTCTTAGGAGGTGCCCTCTTCCCCACTCTGGCATATTCCTGGCCTTCCGAATCACACACTCAGGAATGTTAGTGTCTTTTCATGCAGACTTTGGGGCTTTTTAAATTGCTTTCTTGTGTGTTTATCTCCAGGGTTCAATTTTGTTCAAATTCTTTGGACTTTTTAAATATCCCTCTTCTGCTTTGCTATAAAGTCAAATTGAGCTGCATTTAAATAAATAAAGCATTTTCCCAGCTCAATCTTCAGTCCATAAAATACGCTGTATGCTGGTATTTGTAGAACTCACAGTAGCTGAATTATTGAGGTCTGAATAGCAGCTACTTTCCATGGATGCAGTTCATTCCGTGTGCAGTTTAGCCCCTGATCTCACTGATGGCATCTATCAGATAAGGTGCACAGCTAGAGAATTCTGACACATCGCTGGCAGCCAAGGGGCCACGAGCAGACTGCCGTGTTTAATGGAAGGACAGGGATGCTGAGAGGCAGGGGCTGACTGTATTACTTCTCAGTGATGCTACTGACTTGATACTGACCCAACTCTCTGATGAGGATATTGGATTGCGTGCAGTGGCTTTCACTTCCCTCTCTTCCCTGGAACACTCCTCTCCTCTTCAGTATGTATGGAAAATACTTTCCACATGACCTAGCCGCATCTCCTAACTTCCCTCTGTATGGAGAAATGAGCTTTCCCCTAGTTCTCTCAGATCAATTTTCAATCCAATCAGCCCCATTTTTCATCGTAGGCTTTCTCAAGCCTCATATAGTCTACTTGTTTTGGCTCATTCCCAAACAAAGAAATATATTTACCATATCACGGAATTCGATCTGGGCTCCAGCTTCCATTAACTTCTCCACAATTGCCAAATGTCCTTCTAAGCATGCTCTGTGAAGAGCTGTCCGTTTATACTGTCAGAAGAGAGATTTAAAAAGAGAGAGAGATAGCGATGCATATAAAAATGAGCATAAATCCTTTCTAAGAGGTATGAAACTGAGGACCCCGATGACCTCACTGGTAGAAACTCGAGTGCTTCTTTTTGAATTAGAAATGTCAAATTTACTAAAATTGCAGAACTAGAACAGTGATCCTGCAACTGAGGTTTGAGTTTCCTGCAGGTACATTTCTTAAGTGCTCAGAGGTCTATATGGAGGGATGTGAACTTCAAGTTCACAACTACCTCAACGCTGACATTTCCCTTTCTGGAATTTTGTGTCTTCGTGGTTTGTGTAGAATTTGCCATGCAGATCAGACGGTTTTCTCCCACCTGGGACTATTGCTAGGTTGAATATCAAAAAGTATTCAATTCGTTTTTAGAGAATGGGGGACTCATTTTTAGTTCACCTTCAGAAATGATTCTCCATTCAGTTCAGGGGGGAATGGATACAAAAAAGATTAGTGTTTCTGGTAAGAAGGCTCCCTATGAATGGATTAATAGACTATTTGGCCTAGAACAGCTGTTGGCATTATTCACTCCAGTGAATAATTTACAGACAAGGAAACAGGTCTAGAAAATGCAAATTAGCTGCTAAAATCAAATAGCCAAGTAGTGATAGACCCATCACTTGAACTCAAGTCCACAGAGTCCCTGTGTAGTGCTGATGTGTTTAGGCCAATCAAGGATGATGCTCTTGGGGCGCCTGGGTGGCTCAGTCAGTTAAGCGTCTCCCTTCAGCTCAGGTCATGATCCCGGGGTCCTGGGATCGATCGAGCCCCACGTCGGATTCCCTGCTCAGCCCCTCCCCCTGCTTGTGCTTACTCTCGCTCTGTCTGTCTCAAATAAATAAAATCTTTTTTTTTTTTTAAAGGGATGACGCTATTATGTATCTCTCTAAAAGGGACTTGTTGGTCCTGACTTATTAAAAATCTATCCCAAGAATATAAAAAGTTAAAGACAAACTGAAACATCAGCCAGAAGGGTATGAGAATGCAGAAAATGATGCAATCCACGGCACGAATCCAGCCTCTTTTTTCTGGACCACTGCACTATCCTAATATGCTAGTGGCATCTGGGACAACAGCTGGAGAGACTGTTTCAGGTGGGTTGCTTTTTGGCACCATGTTAGCAAGGCTGAAGTTAAGCATAAGAAACACAAAATTAATGAGCTGGATTTTGCAGTGCTTTGTAGAAGACTTACCTCATCACAGACATCTGGATTGTTCTTGTCTGACAAGAATTTTTCTACTACTGGCAGTTTATTCTCCAGGGCAGCCTTCAGGAACCTAGGCACATCCACAGGTTCTATCTAAAGCCAGAAGAACAGCGCGAGAGCTAACGTGAGCTTTCCGACATCTGATCAAACCCTCCGCAGGTATTTATTCCCCGGCAGCATAATACCAGACATGTAATACTACCAAAGCAAACAGTCCTTACAATGATTTCAGGTTCAGGTTCCTTTACAGCTGGAACTTTAGTCTTCCTGTATTTTTTCCTTTTCTTCAGTTGAATGATGACTTCAAGGTCTTCTAAATTTTCAAGCTTTGATCTTTGTTCTAGTTTTTTCTTCTTGAGCTAAAAAAAAATTCCGTATTTCAAAATATGGTGACAGGCATTCTGGTTGTGTCTAAACAAAATCTGCAAGGTCTGAGATAAGTATGTGAACAGGTGGAGCAAAAAAGTGGGAAAAAAAACCCTTTAAAACTCATCTTTGACTTTGACTTAGTGACTTCTTATTCAAGTATTTGGGGGTCTACTTTTTTAGCTAATTGCCTTCATCTTCACTTCTCCTGCTTGTAGCATCAGCTTTTGACTCATTGGAGATAGGATGTAGTCTGTAAGTGATGATCATGTAATCATTTCCATAAACAAATCCTGGATTTCTGTCGAATTTTTTATTTAACTCAAAAGAATCCAACAATAAGCGTTAAGCTCTGAAATATCAATGCCAGTCTCTTTCCAGCAGCCTTCAAAGCAGGGCTCATGAAGCAGACTTTCCTGGGACTACTACTAACTAATGCATGTTTTATCTGCGATTAGTAAGGAATGAAAAATCACACGGCACCACGGAATTTGTCAACACAGATAGTGAACACAGCCAAAGCCATGTTATTGAGAAAAAGAGGTCTCTCTTGTTTTGGACTAACTAGACGGTGTATGACATCAGAAATTCACTGGTCATGTTTCTCTTTCCAAGTCTTTAAATCAGAACATAGTCATAGAACATTCAGTCATTGATTCAGAATCCAGAGGTCATAGTCTTGCTGAAGAATTAGTTCCTACAACCTGTCTTATAGAAGTTGCCTCTTTATGGGTTTGAATTTGGCAAAGAAACACCTTTGGAATGGTTGCATTTATTTTGTTTCTCTCTTTTCTCCTTCCGGCCTGGCACCCCTTTCTCCTACCCCATTCCCAACTTCCCACTAGTGGATTCCATGGAAGGCCCTTACCTCCACCTCTCGCTCTTTCTCAATTTTCCACTGTTGCTCCCTCAGGCTCAGCGAGTGGGCTGGAAGTGTCTTCAGGTCCTCTTGCTTCTCTAACGTAACAGCAGCTTCATACTGCCCATCTCTGAAATCCTCAGGTAGGAACTCCCCAGTCTCCCCACTGCCATTCTTCTTCCCTGTGACCTGGGAGGAAAGAAAATTGTAGGGTCGGTAGTAGCAGGGCCTGTCCTGGGATCATTCTCCAGAGAGGATGCTGCAGGGGAGCCCCGGTCCTCCCTGCCTGATGACAGCCACCTCTGTGCACTGTGCTCTCAGATCCCAGGCTGGGATGGGCTGCTGCAGTATTCCAGGATTACCATCAGACCACGGTCCTCCTCTCTTGGTTAAGCAAGGCTGAGGTTAGGTTGATATGTTTAAATGCACTTTTAATCCACCTAATCACATTTTGCCTAGGAAAACTGCAACCCCTCCATGATTATTTAAAATTCTTCCATTTCAGGTACTTTCGATGACTCTTGGCCTTGAATCGTAAAAGTTTCCAGACATCTATTCTTGCCATAGAACTTCTTCCCTAAGGCATCCTCATAACTGCATGGGAATCCACGCTTTAGTAAGAAAACCAAAGGAGAAGATAATAAATAGGAAATACAGAGAAAATTCATCACGGCCAGCTTCATTTTTCCAATTTCACCTATTTCATCACTTAAGCCAACCATGTTCCATATACGACATCAGAGTACCTGCGCATTATGCCTGAAGAAGGACATTTCAGTGTTCAAATAAAAATCAAGACTAAACCGGTTTTCCCGGCAAAACAATAACGGGTCTTACGTACCAACTCTTCCACCTTCATCACCATCATGTCGGCCTGAGGTTGGTTGTCTGTGTGTTTTCCCCTGTGGAATGAGTGCCTCAAGTCAGCCCTGCGGAGCCCTCCACACAGGTCGGCTTATATAGCTAGGGCCGGGTGAGGTAATCTCCCAACCTGGGAACCCAAGTAACACCCCTGCCCCCACCAGCGGCCAACTCAGAGGCAGGTGAATTTTCATTCCAGACTCAGTGTCTGGGAAGCAGCTGAGGGAGGGGCTGACAAGTAACCCCACTGAATATGTGAATCAGGAAGAAATGTGAGATGGCCATTCCTTTGGCGGTGACTACACCGCTCAGCAATGCGAGTCATCCTATTTATCGAGAAGCCAGGGGACAGCTGTCTGTTGAGATTGCACCACAGCACTGCTCCTTTTCCTTCTCTGTCAGCTTTCACATGACTAGCCCTATCAGGAAAATGTAAATGCCCTGCATATCACACTGCCAGTAATATCTGGCTGATAACCAGACTTATCAACACTTCACTTGGGGGAAGTGTTGCTTCAGGACATCGTATTCCCGTCGGTAAACAGTCTGAGAGGAAAGGATCCGGGTCCTAATGGCCCTGTCTATATCTGTTTGGAATTCTCTGGAGTGATGTCTAGGGCTAAAAAGGCCCCATGACATGCCACCTTACCATCATTATAAGAAATTGAAAGCATTCAGTAATGCACTTTTATTTTATGGTGTCACTGGCCATAATTAGCACCTGACGTGCTTACTGTCATCTAAAATGGCATACTTACTAGGGCCTTTTTGGTGCAAATGGTGCCCAGCAAGATTAGAGGAGATCAGTTATTAGCAGTGGCATGATGCTGATTGGGTCATAGAGCCAAAGTTCTCATGCTATCGGTAAAACGCTCAGCTGTGGGAGCTTGTCAAAAATGCAGATCCCCTGGCCCCACTCCAGGGCATTCTGAATCCATTTATGGTGGGTCCTAGGAATCTGTATTTTTCAAAGCACCCACATAATTCTGATGCATTGAGGTTTGAGACACATTGTTAGAGAGGCAGAGAGCTTTGCTCTGGGTAGGGGTGAAGAATACCCCTGTTTCTTATTCTGAGGTGTTAAATTAGATAAAAATATTTAGGTCTTTTTACAGTTCAAGAAGAGACTGGGATTGTACCTTCAAAGGCCACTTAAAACCTTAGTTTTTTCAGTAAGAGAAACAAGGGGAGAATGAGAGAAAGGAAGTATTTATGGATAGGGGTGTTCATATATTATGTTGAATTTCTGTATCTGTAACCCCTCAGACTTACTTGCCCACCAACATGGCTGCCATCCTTTTCTCCCCTTGAACATCAACCCATGGATGTCTTCTGGAACCATCAGAATGAGACACTGACTGCCAAAGAGAAAACACTGGTAGAGAAGAACCCTCTTTTTTTTTTAAAAAAAGGTTTTAATTATTTATTCATGAGAGATAGAGAGAGAGAGAGAGAAAGAGAGAGTGTAACTTGGGTCTCTTTCTGCCTCTTCTTCATTCCTTGTATTCTCTTTTCTCTTTCTCCTCTCCAGTCCAACACTCTGCTTCATTTCCTGTGTGTCTGCCAGTAGGTAGGTCTTGTCTCTGCGTGTCTCTCCGTGGGGCTCAGTGTATTTCTCTCAGTCATTGGCTGCCTGCCCCTCTCCCTTCCTCTCTCTGTCCCCCTCCCTTCCTTACTCCTGCCTTTTGCTCTGGCTGTAGCCTCTGCCCCTGCTGTTATGATGCATTTTCTGCTGATAGACTGAGCCGTAAGGATGCCCAAATATGGTAACGGTTTCAGTCAGGGTTGAGATCATGGTAGCCAGGCAAAGCTCACACCCTGCACAGTGCTCAGGAAACTCAGGACTGTCACAGACCCTGGCGCACCTTGTATCCCGCCTCCTGAGGTCAGAGGAAACAGAGGGATGAGCCAGACCCTGGTTTATGAAAGGCAGCCGAGGCTCTCTGTTGGTAGCTGCCACTCGTTACAATTCAGTCAACTTTCCATCCCAGAGCAATTTACATTCATGTCTCTGTTAGGATCGCTTTGCTGTGCCCTTAGTGGAGGGGAAACCATCTTCCCTAGAATCATTTAGATCATTAGAGAAAATCCACCGTATAAGGAATGCTCAGATACGACAATGCAACTATTGAAAGATTTTTTTTTAAATTCACCCTCCTTTTAAAAGAATGTTCAAAGAAATTGCCACATAAGAGTTCTGAAATGTCAAGAATTCCTCTCATTTCTTGCTGTGGTTAATGCCAGGAACATTCTAGAACACTGCACTTGCTCCTTCCTTAGACTGAAGGACAGAGGATGATTTTGTTTGCCTGAGATTCAACCCACCTGAGAAGTATTTGTCCAAGGTGCTCCTTGAGCTAAAGGCTGGCTGAAAACCTTTCACACCAATCTATGGGAAAATATCTTTTTTTATTAAAGAGCTTTGCTTAATCAAACATTCCTCCATGGCGTTTTAGTGATTTTATTTTTACTGACTCCTTCTAGAACCTGCAGGAAATCTTCAAAATGGACAGCACCAATTTCAGCTACAGAAAATAGCTGCAGTGAAGGTCAGGGGAGACAGGCAATTGTGCAGACTGTCAAGGGTATAGCTCCGTTTTTCCATGTTCCCTTTTGTGATTTTTTTAAAAGGGGAATCCAAGTCAGAAAGGCTGGGCAGCCTAACCCTTAAATTCATGGTTCATGAAACTGATTAGAAAAGGCTTTTAAAGTCTTGTGGAAGGGCTCTATAGGGTGTGAAATTTCCCACCTAGGACAAATTCTGAATTATAATGGGACTCTCCCTCAACCTAACCTATTTATTACCATTTACTGAGCACTCACCCTATGCCACCCCCCGGGATAAAGGTTTAATTAGTTCATATAAATCTCATAGTCATTTTTAAATACATATATGATTATTTCCGCTCTTTTACAGAGGGATAAATGGAGCCTGATGGGTTAAAGCAATTTGTTTACACAGCTAAGAAAGAAGAGATCTGAGATTCAAACCCACAATTGCTGACCTTACAGTCTATGTTTTCAAATACTTGTCTCATGGCCAGACTCACCACCTAGAAGTCCAGATAAAGACAGAAAATTGGCTCTGAGCACCAGTGGCAACAAATGTCCCAGATGGGGAGTCTGCTAACCCTCCCCTGGGCCTAGTCAGTAAATCTCAGAATGTTATGGAGATCATCATAGGAAGAGCTACTCAGGTTCATCAAGCCCTATGCCATTTGCAAAGCCTGGTATCTATTATCTCAGATGATCTTTTCTAGAACTCTGTGACTTAGGGGTTGCTGTTCCCATTTTAACAGAAAAAGAGACTAAGACCCAATGAGGTTAAGTACTTGCTCAAGGTCACATATCCGGTAACTTCAGAGCCGAGGCTTGGGCCAAGTCCACCTGACTCTTTGTCCAGTGACTTTTGAGCTGCTTCTCCTGCGCCAACTCCAATCCATTGATCATGACTACTCTGAAGTGTTTTGAAAAACAGTCTCAGGATGGATCAAGACTTGGTGAGAAAAAGGGTCATGATTGATTAGCCATGTCTGCATGGACACTAGAGTGAGGAGTCTGCATGGACACTTGCCACAATTATGTCATCTCTGATCTATTTTGTGCAATCTCAAATCTTCCAGAAGAAGGAATGAAGGCTGATCTCAGAAATTCAGAGAATAGTCAGAATTTGAATTGAGTCGATTCCAACTGAGCTGAAACAGGATTGAATGAATTGAAGTGAAAAACTAATGTTTAATATAAATAAAAGGGAGGTAATTTGTAATCAAAGTAATATCTGCTGTAGTAGTTATTTCCTGGGGCACAACGACACTAGAAGTCATAAAGAAGTAGTCAGTTGCTTGGCCTACTTATAATGAACAAGTTTGGACCTTAAAAAAAAGGAAGCCAATATAAAGTTGAATATTGTTAACACCTTGTCTTTATATTTAACATATTGAAATAAGACCTAAATAAGTAAATTTCTTTTTACATATAGATTTATTATCAATGGAACAGATAAAATGTGGGTCCATAGATTGGCAGCTTAAGCAGTACAACTGGCCTTGTCATTGGTGATGTGATTGTCCAAAATTGTCAAGAGTTCTTGGTAGAGTTCCAAAAAAAAATAAGCACTGTATAATCTTCCCTTGATTCACATGGTAGTTCTGTTTCTGGAAAATCCAAGGTCTATTAAAGCTATATAAAAATACCTTGTATTTTTTATATACAATGGAATTAGGTGCTAGGCTCAGATAATTATAAAATGTCTTGCAGGACACAGGAAGGACATGCTGGATATGAGACCATTCTTGGTGTGGGATAATCCCATGCATTCCTGGCAGTCTGGAATCCCTGGACTTGCCCATTAAGTGTCAGTGCAGTCTCTCATTCATTATGTCAACCAGTTAATAGCTTCATGTATTTCTAAAGTGCCCCTAGGAGATGGTGTTACCCTTGTTGTAGACATTATCCTCTACAGAGAAGACCAAGAAAGGAATGAGAGTCTAAAAGAGTGTCATCAGTCATGGCTACAATTGCATTTCCCTGGATGAGGTTTAGGGAGCAGCTTCCCACCCAAGCCAAGTAAGGGGAGGTAGGGGCATCCTCAAGAGAATTGGGTATAGAGATTGGGGCTTCCACCATGAAAAGGAGACTGGTATCTCCTTCCCCTGGTTGGATATTCACAGCAGATTAGCTCTTTCTCATCTGTGTCAAGGAGAATTGGAGAGATGTGGAGAGTACAGCGAGATTGTCCACCACTTGGAGTAGCTGCATGCTCTCATGCCACTGGGCCACTGAGCTTGAGTTTCCCATGGGAAAACTGGACACAGTGGATTTCAGGGATTTGGGTTTGAGCCATCTTGCTGTTTTCCCCCTGAAGAGAATTGTCTATTGCACAGATACCCAACAACAAGTGGATATTGCATAAGCCACCCTTGGAGGGAACTGAAGTGAAAAGAGAACCCAGGAGTAGAAGTGGGGCTGGAGCCACATCTTCCAGTCAGGGATTTATAAAGTAGGAGGAGGGAGAGGGAGCCTTCAGGAGCTTCAAAGAACCTCTGCATGAATATCTGTCACACTGGAGGTGTGGTCATTGACTGGCATGAGCTGGATAATTAGCAATACAGCATGGGAAGACCTCAACCAGTTAAGTAAAAACAAGTTTGCTCTTTCTCCTTCCCTCTTGACCTCTTGTTATGGTTAATTTTATATGTTAACTGTGATGGACAATGTGCCCAGATATTTGATGAAACAGTATTCTGGGTCTATCTGTGAGGGTGTTTCTGGATGAGGTTAACATTTGAGTCAGTGGAATTGAGTAGAGCAGATTGCCCTCCCCATTCTGGGTGGGCCTCATTCAGTTTGTTTGTTGATGGTCTGAATAGAAT